TGCTGACTTGCTCATTATTTGACACATAGAGTCAACGTGCCTCAACAAGGCCTACGATACTTTTCCTCAGAGGCAGCACAGCTTGGCCTCATTTGAGGCAAGCTGATTCCTCCTGATAGCAAGACTCAAGTTTTGTGAAGAATACCAAATGTATTTGCTAGGGTTCTCTAGAATAGGTGAAGTATAAAATATATGTATGATTGTGTAAGAAATTTATTGTTAGTTTGCAAGAAGCAGAAGACTCACAGTGGTCATCTATGAGATCAGAGTTAGAAGTATCCAAAATGGTCAGCTGCACATTCTAGAGATAGAACCCAGAAACAGTCAAAAGCTGAAGGCCTGGAAGCACACTAGAGTCACAAAGCATAAGTGTAAGTCTGTGTTGGTAGGCCAATGAATCTGTAGTAAAAACTGCAGAGTTTGCACTACAAGGCTGAATGAGCTAGAGACCAATACCCAAGGCAATGGAAAGGAAGGAAGATTTACAAAAAAAAAAAAAAAAAAGACTTCCGTTTTATTCTGTCTGAAGTATAACTTATTGGTTGGTACCACCACATCCAAGTTGAGTTTTCTCCTCTTAGTTTGCTCTCCTACATGTCAGTTATCTACAGACATGTCCAGAATTTACTAATCTGCTAAGCAGTTCTTACTCAATTCAAGTTAACATATTATAATTAAAAACATTATAATAAAACATGAAAGCACCATTGTTTCAAGGAGGAGATTCTTTCTAGGCTTGCCTACTTTGTAGGAACCACAGCTACAAATGCTTTTTTCCTTGTCTTGACAATTGGAAGCATATGCTCTGATCAGATTATTTTTCTAGCAAGTACGGTTCATCTCTTTTTCCACATATCTCCCAGTTAAAGAGGAAAACTTGTCTCACTCATACTATCAGGCTTATCTTGTTAAAAAGAAGTTTTTAGGTATAGCATTAAGTCATTTACTTGTATTCATTCTTTTTTCTTGATGTGAGAATTCACCACTAAAAATTTCCCTCTGAGGACTGCTTTCTTTGTGTCCCACAAGTTCCTGTGTTGTTTGCATTTCTGTTTGATTATAGATATTGTTTAATTTCTTCTTTAACTTCAACTGTGACCCATTGGTTGTTTGGGAGAGCGGTAGCTAAGATAACTGTACTACTCATTCTATTAGATCATTGAATGGAATAGTTTGTGCTTTTTTGTTTGATCAACTTTACATGCCTATACCTGGCAATCTGAGCAACTATTTTGAGAAAAACAATATGCAATATAATAACTATTGTTAATGTCCTATCATCTTGTTTTGAAATTCTGTATTATTTTTATTGCTTTTTAAATTCTACTTAAAATAGATAGTTAACTTCAAAAGAAGATTTTTAAATTTTTTCTGCTAATATATCTGAAGAATCTACTCAAGAAATGAATATATTTGAGACAACATAGAAAGAATACTATTTTCGTCCATTAACATTACAGGCCCTGGAAGATATAGTAAAGATGCTGATTCAGTGTTGGATACTGGATTCTCATGGTCACAGGCATGTGGACAAGTTAGTTTATAAGAGCTCAGAATAGAGTTTAAAGCGAGGCATATCTAGTCCCAAATAGAGTGCTGTGTCTTTCTATAGGATATCAGAAGTATTGATTTCACTTAATCAGTAAACTTAAATCTTTGGCAACTATGGTGGATAAAAGGGTAAACCAATAGGAAAGAATGTGTTATAACTATTTCTCTTCTGGTACTAAATACAATCCAAAAACCTGAGCTTCAAAACATAAACCAACATTACTACATAATCTTTAGAAGATCACTTTGAGGAACACAAGGCCTGAATTTCATTTTCTCTTATCCTAAAACTAAGTCCTCCAAATCTGTACATTTCGTATGGTGAATGTAATATAGAACTCATGGTTGTAAAAAAAAAAATTGACCTTATTACATAGGAAAAAACATTATTTTACCGAATCTGAACATAAACTTCTCAGAAATTTCTCATGAAATTCTACAATTAATATACAATCAGATGGCCAAATTCTCCTTGTATTTCCAGTTGTTTATTATTAGGATATTTTATAAGTTGTGGATAATAATTATTAAATTGTATTATTTTGTTAAAGTACAAATGATTAAAATAAAGTTGTTAGAATTTTAAAATTGCTTCTTGGGCTTTCTATTTGCTCATTGATTCATAGGTGCTCACAGAATGTCTTTAACATTCAGGTGTGGGTACTGGGGGTGGGAGGAAGGCATGAGGGAAGCAAAAATAAATGCAAACAGCCTGCTTCAAGGCTTTTGTAACAAAATAGAAGAAATTATCCTGAGCGCACAAATAATTAATGTAGGAGGAGGTGGAGAATGCTGAGAAAGGTGCTCACAAAGTGATCTGACTTTAGAAAATGAGTCATCATGTCTAACGAGTGAAAGCAAAGGCATTGGAGGATGTCACATTTGAGTCAGATCTCAAAATGTACTTGTCTTGTAAGCGTTGACTTTCTAAATGCAGACGCAGAGGATAGTATATAAAGAGGCTAATGCAATAAGAGGGTAGTTCCATCAGATCTTGGAGGGTCCACACACTTGTTCCATGAAAATCTGCATTGAATTACTGTGTGGGGAGCATCTCTAGCGCTCATCAGAGTCTCATCGGGGTTCAAATCCTAAGAATGTTTAGGTGCCCTCTGATATCGATCATATTCTGTGAATAACAAGAATTGTGCTAATATACAATGCACATTTTACCATTGAAAAGTTAAAATATAAATCAAATTATCAAACAGGCTGAGCATAGTGATGCATGCCTATAATCACAGCACTCTGAGAGGCCAAGACAAGAAAAATGCAAGTTAGAACCCAATCTGGGCAATTTGGTATGTTAGTGTGAACTATCAAAATAAAAATAAATAAATAAATTAAATTAAAAAAAAAAAAAAAAAAAAAAAAAACAGCTGAGGATGAAGTCCAGGGCAAAGGCCCGTGGTTCAACAGTGCCTAAGGGAAAAATAATCATCAAACAGTAAAAAAAAGGAAATAATTTTAGTATCTCATTTTTTAAAGTGAGGAAATGGAACTCTGAGAAGAGATATGTCTTGTTCAAAATCACAGAATTTGTTACAAGATAGATATAAGTCTAATTTTTACAAAACCTTTCCCAAAAACATGTGAAGAATGGACTTTATATGTTAGGCAATAGGGAGTTATTAAATTGTTTTGGACAAAGAGCATATACAGAAGATATGCCGGGCAGAACTATATATGCCGGGCAGCTGGATTGTAAATGGAAGCATTTAGACCCCAGAAGGTCGAATGGAATGTATTGCAAATAGCTCAGGAAGAAATAAATGTGGTCTAAATCTGAATGGCAGGAAAGAGAATGAAAAGGAGATAATGGGTTTCAAAAAGCTTAATGAAGTTAAAAGCTATCGAATACAGAATGGCATTGCTATGAACATTAAACAGATACTGAATAGAAGTCACTTTCAACAAAGATTCATAGACCTAGAGTCTTGGAAAATGGGAAGAATATAGAAAAAACATGTAACTCAGAAGAAGAAACAGTTTTAAGATACAGATATTTGTTATTGATATAAACAGCTTGATTAATCAACTCCCTTGTAAATTTACAGCTCTACAGTTTCCAAGGGGGATTTAGCATCACTTTAATGACAATGTCATGGTCAAAGTTGACATTTTGCTTTACATCTTCCTACTATTTGATGCACATGATATGTAAGAAAGCAAACTACAGTTACCTGTGTCTGCCTAATGGCACAGCAAATGTAGGTAAAAATCAGAATAATGGTTATCTTGCCTATAGGATTATAAATATATGTCACTATACTACACCATGATACTAATTCAATGTATATTGCATAGGCTCCTATGCTATACTAGTAACTGTTATAGGTACATCTTGAGAAAGATTCAAACAAAAAGTAAGAGTACTGAACTACAGGTAATTGCCAGTTTAAAAGAGTTGTCAGACATAAACACAATCACTTCTTTCCCACTGACACTCATGTTTAAACCTAAAATGCTAGATGTCTTGTAAAATATGCATAGCCCTTTTGCTCTTCTCTTAAAAATAGTGGTACCCTGTTACAGTAGGGCAGGTAAGCATAGCTAAATTTAATGTAAAGCTTGTCACTGCAGAATATGAAGAAACACAAGTAAACTTCTTCAATCAGCTTTTGCAGTCATTCTACATGAAATCGATGGTAGTCTTTGACTGCCAGAGAGAAAAATCAAATTTTGGCCCTATGAGGGCGTGTTCTGAGTTTCCACACTAATCTGATAAGGACTCTCGGACCTGATTATCCTTAGATCTATGTCTGTACAAACACATAGGACTTGACAAGTTCACTACCCCTTAAACACTCTAATTTGTATCCTATATGAAAGGCACACTGCCTTCCATATTCTTGAATCTCTGTTCATGCAAACATTTTCACTTTCCTGTCCTCTTGGCCATAAATGTTTTCTTTTAGCTACATTTTTAAGGTCAGAGTAGAGCTGAATGATTCAAAATGAAACGATAAATCCAAGGTATATGCCAGTGGCTGTGAGCTCTCTCTCTCAGGCCTCTCTCCCCTTTTAAGCTGCTGGACTCTCTGAACAGGTTCCAGCCTTTGTTTGAAGACCCTAGAGCACTAGGCCAGCAGCTGGTGTAAGTCATAATTACTTTAGAGTGGGCCTTTTCTGAGAGCATCTAGAAATAATGAGGTTTGTCTGAAAAATTATTATTAGCACATCTTAAAGATTGAGATCAAGCTTTGCCTCTTCTTATTCTAAAGTGTTAAATATGCTAATGAGATGGCCCAGAAAAAGCATAGAAATAGTCTTGCTGCAAGTGTGAATGGCACAGTAATAGAATGCTAGGGAAGGATAGAAAAGCATGTGAATTGTGAAGATATGCAATGTCATCACTGACAAACAAGACATGGCTGAATGTCCCTCCCTGAAATGGGAGTGTAAGAATATGTCTCAGGGCAAAAGTCAATTTCAGATGTAAACCATACCTGGAAGTATGAAATTTTCTGTTCCTTTCAGTCCCTTATCTTCATGAGGTTTTTCTAGGAGAGTTGTATGTGCTTAAAACTTTCTTCCACTGGTAGGGATCAATGGGAATCAGGTAGTTCCCTCTGAAAGAGAAAGAATGGGATTGAAAAAAAAAGTCAGTGGTCTGTGGTGGGATGCCTTAAAGGTGAATCAGACTTCATTTGTACTCACTCATTTTTTTGTGTAAACTTAAATGTTACTTAACATGTTGTTAACAAGTTATCCTAATACAGAAATGGAGGTAATGATCAACCCTATTTGATGAGACTTTTGTGGTGACTATATGAGACAATATACCTTAAAAGTACTTTGCAAAATGGCTGCCTTTTACAAAGCCCTTGATACCACAATTGCTGCTGCTATTGTTATACATCCTAAATTTCTGAAATGCTGTTAGACTCTCTCGTTTAAATCTCTCACCTAGTAACTCTGTTCATTCAGTTCTGTCCACACTGATGAATCTTCCTTCCCCAGTAGTCTGTGGGTGTGCCTGACCTTCTGTACTTCAGTATCACCTGCCTGAACCACACTAGCATGACCATGTAGCATATAATTTGTGGCGTATTGATTGGCTTTTCCTCCATTTGGAAAGTTACTTCTATCTGTCTTTTCTGTATCTTCTCCATCACCATATTTTCAAGAAAAATCCATATGTGTGCATGCTTTCCCCTGCCTATAGGAATCATTCTCTTATATGTCATGCTCCTACTTGATTAAATAGAAATAAACTATGGTAATATAATTAGACTTTAAGAAATATACTTAGAAAAGGAAATCTACAAAGATGATGCCTTGAACCATTTTTAGTTTTTACATATAAGTACATAATTTGTTATTGAGACCTCAATTTGTTTAAAGAAAAGTGGCTAATGATTTCCACTTTTACACAGTGGTTATGCAGATCAAGTTTCCTAAAGGTGGATCACTTATCACTTAAGTTGGATCAAGAAAACAACAGTTTTTTAAATCTGTTTACAGGTGTGTATTGAATCATAATAAGTTTATAACCATGTAGGAGAAATTGTACATAAATATTACAGTGTAAGGTAGAAAATTGGTCATAAGAGATATCCAGGAAGAGTGTCATGGGAGCTCTCAGAATAAATAACATTTTGCAATACAGAATGAGAATCAGCTTCTCAGAGAGAGGATGAGTTGTGTCTTGAAGGATTCACACATACAACCATGGCTTAACAAATATTGACTACATTACAATATGTAATACATATTGTACAATGAGTTTATCTGTATTTTACTGTTAAATTCTCTTTTATCCTTCCATGCAATAGCTATTTTTCTTTCAATCTCTGCCCTGAATATTCCAAAATCAACTTATTTGATAATGGCTTGAGTTTATAGCTATTTTCTTTGGTATATAGCAAATATCAGCCAGCATATTCTGTAAAGAGTCAGCCAGTAGATGTTTTCAGCTCTGAGAACCTATACAGTCTCTATTGTAACCATCTGTTCTGGTATTGAAACATAAAAAGCAGTCAAACAATGTATACGTGACATACATGGATCTGTTTAAAACAAAAAACTGCTTAGAAAATCAAGTTGTGGTCAAATTCACACTAGGAATGCAAACCCTGGATTACAGCATAGGTTTACTTATGTATCAATTAAAAAAAATTTCTGATTTCTGATACTCATAAAAATGGCACTATAGCAACCATGGCATCCTGAGCTGTCCAAACACCCACTTGTCAAAACCAATAACTGACCTGAGATTTCACCATACTTGAAAGGAAACAAGTTAGCTTGATACAGTTTCATAGATGCTGGCATAAGACACCTGACTCCTGGGTCAGAGACAAAGGACAATTTATTACTCACTGTAATAGCAGAATCAGATTATCACTATTTCTTGTCAGTTCCCCAAGCCCTTTATCCCATAGGGCAACACAAAAACAGTTAATAACTGCATGCACCATTCATAGTATTATAGTAAAGAACCCTGAACTTAGTGAACAGGGATCCTCTATCATAGGCAATAAGCATTACTGACCTTTGCCCTAGCGGGAAACATTAACTTTATTGGACTGGAGAGTAAGCATGCCTGCCCTTTGCTCTAGTAGTAGACAGCATTTCTATTTTCTAATGCTATTCTCCATACAAACATCTTTAAATAGATAATCTAGGGAAAAGGTATCTAGTGTTTCCACCTAGAAGATGTACAGAAATATCAGAAACTCATAGACAACTACTCTAGATTCCTAAACTATAGTCATGTACCTGCAAGTCTTTAAAACATTGATAAAAAAAATACTAACTACAGTCAAATGCCCATAGAATTTACCAAACCACAACAAGAATTTCATAAGTAACATAAGCACTTTTAAATTATCTTTTCAAGACCCTGGCTAATTAACAATTGATAGACATGGGCTTTATTTCAACTCCAATTTATGACTTCCATCTTTGAAGCCATATTATCTTAAACATAATTACAATAAATTGAACTATTCCAATGTTGCTTATGTATCCCATAGATTAAAAAGTTTCACACATGTATGTATGCATAATTTATATGTATGTATGTGTAAAAAATGTCCCCTCATGCATTTACTTAGAGGTTGTGGGGAAAAGTGGAAAATTTACACTGATCTAGAAATAAAATGCTTTACATTTTTAGTAAATTTATGAGGATTTCAAAAGTTTGCATGAGATTCATTCTCAGAATTTTTTTTTAAATTTAGCATCCAAGAATTCAAACTTTCAGTAATCACATTTATAGGCAGGGAATGCCTTGTGCCATTCCCATTCAGCAACATTGGAAAGGGAGGTAGACTTACAAAACTGATCAGAATAAGGTCCATGGGAAAGTTTGAAGAAAATTTTCATTTTAAGTACTAGTTTTGAGCCAAAAAAGCCTCACATACTTTTTAGTGAACCGACCTGCTAGTGAAGAAGTTTCAAAGCAAAGGCAAAAGTCACTGCTTTTCCAGTAAAAGCTCCCTAACTTTCAGGGACCATCTAGCTTAAGGTGTTAAGATGCTGGTGACCCCGCAGCAGCGGCACTATGTGAGCCATGTCATGCACTACTCCTTATAAACCCAGCTCAGCTCTCCTCCAGTGTCTCCTCTTAGAGTTATACTTGATTTCCTGACCATTTTTCATTTGAATGCCTTGAGAGTGAAAGGATTCTTCTCTTGTTTCTTGGGCAGGAACGCTTGACCCTTAAAATCTTGTGAGATGACACAATGAGGAAAGAAGAAATTCCACAGGCACAAAAGGGGGAAAAAGGAGAGAGCTTTTTTCAATAATTTTTCATAGATAATGATAAATTTTGACCAAGATATCAAGATTGAAGTGAAACATGTCAATTTTATCCTTATACTCACATTTTGGCTGCTTATATTGCTAAAAAGGTTTACTAGGTCACTAACACCAGGACAAATGCATACATACATACAAGAAGAACATGCAAACATGAAAATAGCTTGGCCCATGGCAAATGGCATGTTAATAGCTAAGAAGCAAGAGGAACATGCCCTGTATACTGGGCTCCCACCAGTTTTGAGCAGTTTACTGAATAGGAAGAGAAAGGGAATGTGTGTTTTCATTTCAAAAGATTATTTTTCCTTCTTTTTAATGCATTATCCCTTTGGGAATCTTAGACCTAAAGCTGTCATTTTTCTAAGTAGGACATTTGAAACTAAAGGTTGCTGATTCATTTGACAGATAGTGAATTTTGTCCCCTCCCACGTACAGACATATTTCAAGTGTGTTCCTGTTTATACATATGGACAAGAAGATTTCAGAAAAAAAATGCTCTAGATGCATCTCGTTCATGCCTTGTAGAAATGCTAGGGATGATTTGGCAGAGAGAAAATAAAACTCTGGCAGGAACCAGGTTTTAAGTTTTATTTTCACCATGCTTGTACTTTGTTCCACTTTTAGAAGCAGCGTGATGTCAGTCACATTTAAATCAGATGAAAACCTGAATTTTTCATATTAATTAAAGTTCAATGGATTCCTTATAAAGAATACATGAAAAGATCAGCAGCAGTGGGGTGGGGGAAGTCACGTGGGGTGGATTTTCTGCAGATTAACTGTGGCTGAGTTCAACTTCCCCCTGGGTTTTTTGAACTGACTCCAAATTTAGAAATTGATTGACAAACAATGCTACCTCATCCTGCATGAATTTTTTTCTCCTGTAAAGAAGAGTACAAATGAAGTAGGAGAATAAGTGCTTCCAACAAACAGTACTGGATGCTGTTTGTGTGTGTGTGTGTGTGTGTGTGTGTGTGTGTGTGTGTGTGTGTGTGTTTACTACGGCTCTCAATTAAATACAAATCCATGAAAAGGGGGGGGACTAACAAAGCTTGCTCTGTGTACAGGCATCTCTGGCAACACAGACAGGAAACATATTAAGGCCTAACCCAGAGGAGCTTCTATTCCAGCCAGAACAGGTGTCTGTAACTGGCAGCATGAAGCTTTGATCAAAGCAATTCCAGCCCAAGTTCTTAGATCATCACCATGTGCCCAACTGAGTCCAACTGTGACAAGATCAGTTACTCTTATTTAATCACAACAATAGAGACTTTTAAGGTACTCATTAGCAAACAAAGACATAAATCAGTATTATGGAGCCAGGTATGGTTTTACTGAAAAATAAACTCAGATTCAAATTCATGGATGTGAATCTTACTTAACTGCCTTTTAAGCACTCTGACAGTTTAAAACAGTTATAGCTCTAGGTGAGATGATGTTGCTCTTCATCTGCTCCCACAGGTTCCTCTTGCTGAAGCTAGAAAAGGTTTCCAACAAGATACTCACTATGCTACATGCCCAGAATCTCTTTACCTTCAGAGGGATTCCTAATGCCTAGGCTTCTTGCTTTAATATCTATTATCACTCTGTTTTATTGCCATTAATGGGCTTATTTTATCTGTCTTTGCTTGGTTTTATTTGGATCACTGATTAAAAGATAATTATCTCCAGTTAGGAAAACATAAATTATTCTTTGAATATTTCACACATTTCTTTTAGTGCAGTGTATCAAATCTGGGATGGACTTCATTTCAATCTTTTTTCTCATTGCTTTCTGTGAGCATCTGGCCTAATTCAGGTGTAGTTT